GAGCCTTCTTGATTATTCCCTCTCCACAAGTCTTAAAACTGTAAAGTCTTTCTCTTCATCTCTACCTTATTTCCATAAAGACTTAGTAGAAACTCTTCGGATCTTCACTAAAAGGGGATTTAAAACAGAACGGATATTGCTGAGAAACATCACAGTTACTTTTTCAAAATGCACATGACTGCTTCTTTATTTCTTTTTCTTTTAATTTTTTTTAATAACACCTGCATGCTCATTGAGATGTGGGTTTTTTTTGTAAAAAAAAGGGCAATAAGTCTCGAAGTAGCATTAACTTATCAAATTCTTTATTTATCCTGGATATACACCCTGTATAGATACCTTGCGCAATTGTACAATAATGTATTTTGAAAATTAATAAAAATTAGGCATGAGCCTATTTAAAAAAAAAAAAAAAAAAAAAAAAAAAATTTTACAAACAACTAAGCCTGTATTGCCAAATAGAAAATAATAAAAAAAGAAAATTCCAAAAGAACTCACAAAAGATGGTCAAAGAAAAAGAACTGGATCTGAAACTAATCAAGATTAAAACACACTTTAATAATCTATACAATGAAGAAGCAGATATTCTAGCCAAGGAAGTTTTAATGCTTTCTGTGATCAAATGAAAGAATCTTACTTCATCCAAAATTGTTACCGAAATCAAATGATATAAAATGACTTTATACAGTATAATCCCATTAGATAGATTATTAAAATAATGAATAGCAAAGTTACAGCTTATTAATGAACTAAATAAAACAAGATTTTGAATAAATGAAATTAACAGATTCAAGATTAATATACTACATATGGAATTTGATATGTGAAAAAATGAAGAATAGACATATTTGGGATACCTTTTTTAAAAATTCTCAAGAAAGAAGCTTCCTTGTTAAATTAATTAATGAAGAGTTATCAATGCTTTCCAAATTGACCATAAAAAGATCAGATCTATATAAATAATTAGAGTATATAATATGCAAACAGCAAATAGAAACAATAGAAAATCTACTAGAATATCTAGTATATAAAGCCCAATAGTAGGAATTTGAAACAAAAGAGCTGAAGATATTTTAAAAGACTTTTGAAAACTTTTGCATGAGAGAAGAAAAGAGATGAAAGAGAAAAAAAATAAAGTTTCTAGTTGAAAACAGAATAGAATTAGAAGAATTGAACAAATATATAACTAGGCTTATAAAAGAGACTACAAAAATAGACTAGAATACACTAAACTTCTACATAGAACTAATACAAAATAATCAGATATTAAAAAGGTCAAATCTATGATGTTGTCAGAAAAGAATAGGTAAAAAAGCCCGAAAGTGAATAGTGAAAATGCAAAAGAAAGTTTGCAATCAATTTTGAAAGAAGATCTGAAATAAAAGGTACTCAAGAATAATCAAGTGGGAACAAGCACAAGGGATTTATAAAAAAAGATAAAATAAAAAGATTAGCCAGTCAATTAAACCAGAACAATAAGACTACAACTACAAAAAAGTCTTTACAAGAAGAAGAAAAACTTGAAGATGAAGGTCTGAAAAAACCTTCCTAGAAGAAGTAAAGTATGGAATAAGATGGTTAGGATTTTAACTTTTATCAGAACTCATAAAGAAAATCTGCAATAGTGATCTGCAGGTAATGAAACTAATAGTTGGAAAGGTTTTCACCTAAGTTATTAATGAAGCAATAAATCACTTCTGAAGTTACACTTAGAGTAATAATAATTAAAATGAGTGGATCAATTAGAAATTTGGTTTTAACGATTCATTTTACATGTATAATATACTAATGTTTGATAAAACACACATAATTAGCCTAATAGAGAGTAAAAAAAAAAAAAAAAAAAAATAGTAAATTATTAAGTATTTTCATAAATAAATAAATTTTCTAGTTTAGCCACAAATAATGTAAAAATAATTTTTTTAATCTTAATTATACTATAATGATATATTATTATTTAGAAACTAATTAAAGATATAATATAATTATAGACTTTTCACAATATAGTTGATTTATTCTTATATAAAAATACTTTAAATTCAATTTAGGAGACAATATTATATATATTATATTTTCCTAGTTAGATTAAATTTATTATTTATGAGTTATTATCAACAGTTTGTTATTATTAATTGATTTGAAAATTATAAATTATTAAGATTAAAAAGAGAAAAGGAACAATAGAATAGAAAAGAAAACAATTCAAGATTAATTATAAAGTTTAATAATAAAACCAATTTTTTAAAAAGAGATTTATCCAATTAGAATAATTTTCTTGTTTTATTTAACCTTGAAAGAAATCCTCTTTATTATTACTTATGATATTAGACAAGTTAATTCAACTAGTCCTTTATTTAAACTAGTATTAGATTGAAATATTTCAAAGAAAATATTTGAATCTCAGTTTTTACTTATTAAAGTTTTGTTATTATCTGAAGAATGTAGGTAAGAAATAAAAATTTGTAATTTATATTATTCTTCTTATGATTTTTTGATATTATAAATATCTTTATTAGAAAGCTTGAACTTTTGAAAATGAATATTTCTAAAATATTTTTTTTATTTATCATTAATATTATCAGAACACATAAGTGTAACCAATAGGGACTTGTTTATATTTTAAAAGCTAATATGTTTCATGTCAACCATTTACCTTTGATAAGAATTTGTGCTACTCAAAATTTAGAAACAAATTGAGACAGACAAAATTTCTCAAAAAACTAGGAAAATTAAAGCTCTAAAAGGATCAGGATAGTCAAAAAAAAAAGAAAATAAATCCTTTATTGTATAAAACTTCTATAAATCTTTTGTTTCAAAGGTTAGAAAGATCTTTAGATACTTTACAATTGGTTTTTCTTTTTTTGAAACTTTTTTATTATTTGTATCAAAGGTGTTACTTGATTTTTTTTAACCATTGAAAATCAAGTTTTTGAGTAAAGAGGTTTATAAGCAATAGAAAAAAGATAGAGATAATTCTTGAAATCATACTTCAAGTTGTTTTAAGAAAAGTATTAAGACATTATTGACAAGAAGTGTAAAAACTTCTTGCAAACATCTTTTTTGTGTGTAATCAAAGGATCAGCAGAAAAAGAAATGCAAAAATAAAAATAAAAATAAAATAAATAAATAAAAATAAAAAATATCTAGATGCAAACCAAATACCATTCTCAAATCCAAAGAATTCTCGATTACGGATAAATAATAGTTATGTGTTACATTACAGATAAGGCATTCGTATAACGACACAAACAAAGAAGAACTACAGTTAACCACGATAAAAAATGGAAAGTTTGGAGGACGTGTTATCAAATCGGCGTGGTTATCAAATTTTTCACGTGCAGTCAAACAAAATTATATAATGTACAACAATACGCTTACCAAAATTTGGTAGCAGAATGGCGATCTATATATAACCAAGAAGTGTAATGAGCTGATCCGATGAAAGATTTTATCAATCTATTAGGGAAGGCGCACGAATTTTTAGGTTTATAACTCAAAACAATGTAGATTTCAGGAGCTATAATTTGATAGTTATCTGCTTCCGAAGATTTTTTCGCACCGAAAGATGAAATCAAAGGAACTTTTCTACGCATTCAAATCCATTGCGTTGTTGTCCTGCTACAAATAAATATATGAACCCGGACATAATATTGTTGGATGACCAATTAGAAAATGATTGGTGCGCGCCGAGATATCTATAGATAGTGGAACTGGGATTTTGGTTTTTCCATTGCCTTGGAAAGATTTTTAACATGACGCACGGAAATTGAACAATATATATTAAAGGGGGTTCATTGTTAAACAATCGTTTACCGAATTGGAAAAAAGTTTTTCTTTCACAGGAGGAATAACGTCTTTTTTTGGCCATCTTTAAATTAACGATTAACACGGTACATTAATAAATAACAGATATTTTAAACAATGATTGTCAATAAAACCAGTTACCAGTCTAAGGTGGTAACGTTACACGGGGATTCATTGTTATATTTAACCAATATCTGATGCATCCGGGATCCAGGTATTACGAAGCCTTTTTTAGTATGATTCTTCTCGCTATCTGCATGCAATAACAATAATAATAACATTATTATTATTATTATTAGTTTCAGGCAAGTTTTTTTTTGATAGCCAAATCTTGTGTCTTTCCGGGATTTTAAGAAAAACGTACAACTTTGCATCTTGCAAGGTAAAAGAGTATATAACTTCGACTAATTTCAGTTCGCGTCTTTTTTTTTTTTCTTATTAAAAATTAAAAATTTCTCAGGACCCTCGTGAATTTAATTAAATATTACCGGTTATACAAACCATCTTGCCTTAAGTTTTTTTTTTTTTTTTTTTTTTGTGTTGTTGTTTCACACACGTACTATTATTTATTTGTATAAATAGTCCAGGCGTTAATCAAGCTTTCGACCTTTTATATACGTTGAAAAAAATTTTTTTTTAAAACTCTACCGCATTTCCCATGTCTTTTTAATTTGCTTCCAATGATAGTTGCTATATTTTTATTTAAAAACACGAGACATGGCCATTTCTGATCGGCATTTACATTATGTGTTAGAGCCTCCTCCAGAGCCAATCATGTAGGTACTTGTAATTTGTTTGATGGGGGTGATTTTTTTTGGTCGGTTTTGTTTTACCTTTGTCTTTTGTGACCTCTCCTTTCAGTAAATAATGATTTCTACAAAGTAACTATTATTTATTTTTAAACAAATAAAAATTAAGGACATCAATTTTCATTCAGATACATATTGTTTTATTATGGTTCTCCAGTTACAGTTTTGTAATATACTGTATATGCTGTAAACTCTATAATGATTTTTTTTTCTTTTTTCTTTTTTACTCTTTTTTTTTTTTTTTTCCTCTGCGTATTTTTCATTCTAATTTCTTTCTTTTTAATTTTTATTCCCTCTCAAAAACTTTTATATTAAATCTCTTCATACTCTGTCATTCATCACAGTTACAGATATCATTTGGAGGTCTCCCAGCAGCCCATAAGGGCACGAATGTGCGGTTTCGGGGATAAAGATCGCCGACCCATCGATCCACCCCCAGTTGTCAGGCTTCTCGTGTCTACCACTGACGGAACTCCCGTACCAGAAAGGTTGGAAGCATTAAATTCTTTTATACAAAAGATGATTCCTTTTCTATTACTTTATGACAATAAAAATTCTCGGGAACGTTTTATAATAGTTCTGTCGACCATTCTATGATGATCGTTCATGCTGGACTTTGGTCCGAAGATTCAACGGAAGAGCGTAGTCTGGTAATCAATCCTTCATCTATTCCGGCCCAGTCGACTGGTCCCAGCTCAACCGTAATGTCACTGAACGCACCGTCTAGTACACGAAATCTTATGGGTCACTGTACCTCTTCAGCATACGTATTAAACAATCATATGGGTCAACAGGGAATTTACTTTATCTTCCAAGATTTATCTGTTCGCACTGAAGGATCTTTTACATTAAAATTTTCTTTTTGTGATGTTAAAGAGTTACTTGTTCGGTAAGTATTTCTAATGTTTAAAATTTTTTGTTAATAAAAAATTTCGGATTTGATATCAAATTCTGATTTTTTTTTATTGGTTTGGTGTTACTATTCTTGATTTCCTTTGCTGGTATTCATTGTATTTATGCGTGAGTCATTCCTTCACTATGTATCAGTAGATCACTGAACGGATTTCCAAACACTCGTGGTAGCGTTGCAGCTGAAGTGTACAGCGCTCCTTTTAAGGTATACTCTGCAAAAAAATTCCCCGGTATGACAGGTACAGGTTTTAAACAAGTATTTATAGTAGAGAGGATGAATGAATTAAACATGTTATTCAACTATCAATTACGGCATTGTCTATAGTATTCCCGTTTATGTTCTATTGTACACATTAGAATCGACTGCATTATCCAAAGCTTTCGCAAAGCAAGGAATTAAAATTCCAATTCGCAAGGAAACACGTTACCGCAAAGCAAACAATGACGATATACGTGAACCTTCGAATGACGACGCACCAGAAGCCTCCTCTTCGGTTACATCCACAAACATTAGTGATCTTCCCAAAGCTCCTGATTCTTCGACTGACCACGAAGGTCACACGGAAGAAAAACGTGATCATCATGATCTGTCAGAAGAAGACACCGCTGATGAAGCAGAAGAGGAGGGTAAAGGTAAGTCTATTGCTAAACGGAGAAGAAAATCAAAATAATAAGCTATTATTGAGGTATAAAAGATGGAAAGATGTCTGTTCCGAAGAATCAAGATACTTTTTCCCCGACTCCTTTAAACTTCCACTTTTTTTATCTAGACTTGGAAGCATTTGTTGGATAGTAATATGATTTTCGCTATCGTGTTAGCAATTTTAAGATTTATAATTAGGTAAGTAAAAAAAAAAAAAAAACCCCCTTTGAAGCCTTTACACAAAGTAAAGCAGCACTTACATTTATAATTTCTTGCCCAAAACAGGTTATGTTCTTTAAGCCCTATAATTTCAATAGGTTGTACCAGATTTTTAATTCCGCTTTCGAAACTTCGTGTTTTTTATCGTTTTTACGTTTTTACCTTTGCGTGTGCATGCAAAGAATGGTTTTCTTCCCTTTTTTTATTTTTTATTTTTCGCATTTATTTCACCCGTTCTGAAACGTTGGATTATATAACTCACGCTCGTAGGACTCAAAATATATGCTTCTAGTAAAAGAAAAAATATGCTATGTAATTTAGTTTAATTCAACTCGGATTCAATAAAGTACGATATAGTATTAGAACACCATTTCCAATTCTTCCACAGTGGCAAAATTGCACACGTTTTTCGAATTTCAATTCTTTTGCAACATTAAATTTATCCAGAACAATTGAAATTCAATCCTTTGCAGCAGAAAAAGATACAGATTAATTAGTTAAAAAACTAATTGTCTATCAATTTCTTAAATTAAGCATTTGTTTGTTTGTTTGTAATAAAACCTTTTATGGTAATAAATATCCATAACTAAATGCTATCACGAGAAATGCTGTACGTAATATTGTACAAGCAAATCTTTTATTTTGTTTATGAAACGCATTTAAAGTTTTATGTAACGTTGTCGCGAAATAAATATATTTTTTAAACGAAACACTTTTTCGCACGTAACCCACGAAATATTATTTGGAAGTGCCTGCTTTCTTTCTTTTCTTTTCTTTTCTTTTCTTTTTTTTTTTTACATGATCCTATTTTTTATTAATTAAAACAATTTAACTTGTATTTTGCTTGATAACTGAATTTGGTAATTTCAAAACCTACGATATATGGCATGTATTGTCAATTATGATAGTTTTTCTTTTTCTTTTTTTTAAAAAAAGAATGCTTATATTGAGAATCCTTTTTGATAATAGAATTATTGTTGTTTAATATTTTCTAGTCAGAAATCAAATACAGTTTAGTTTAATATAATCCCATTTTATCATGATCTAATAAATAACATGTTAATTTTACATAAATTATATTCAAAAAAAATTGAAACTTGCAATTAAAAATGTTTTACTTTTTCATTACAATATTAACAAATAATATTCAATTAATTTTTATGTCTACTGTTTTTTTTATAGCTTATAAAATGATTTAGATAATTATTTTAAATCATGAATATTATAAGGTTTAATATACAGTATAACAAATTTTTACTATATTAGTATTTTATAAATTTTTATTTTGTAATAATTTTTTATAATTTTAAATAATTATCTTGACTCAATTTTTATATTTAAAACATTAACTCTTTCTGCTGATCCTCTAACCACTCATAAAAAAGATGTTTGCAAAAAGTTTTTGATACTTTTATGCTAATAAAATCTTACTACTTTCTTTAAACCAATTTAAAAAGTTTCTTTTAGAACTCCTTTATCTCCCCTCTATTTTGTTTACAATCTCCTTTGAACAAACTGGACTTTTGTGACCTGCAAAGCTTAGTTCTCACCTTTACTACCAACAGCAAGAAAGTTCTTAAAGGGAAAAGAATCAACAGTATAGTACCTGTCACCTATCAGTTATAGTGAAGAGTAATAGAGATTCTATTCCAATTAAAGGATTCATTTTTCATCCTTTGACTGGCGTTGTGATCTCTAAGAGCTATCTTTTTTATAGCATTCTAGGAAATTTTGCCTACTCCACTTGATCCTGAAATTTTGAATAGCACAGATCTTACTAATTCTGATTGGCTGATATTAAACATATTGAAAAAGATTGATAAACAAGCTCTTATTGATCACCTTACATGTCTAAATATATTTTTTCAATTCTATAAGAACCTAGAATCTATCATAAGTCATATGTATTGGTACAAGTGGATATAGGACATGTTATTGACATATTATTAAATAAAAGAAAGAGTTCATTTGACTACAACAAAGGTCATAAGATGCTCGATTGATCTTTTTTCAAGTCAGAGTCATCTATATTCAGATTGAATATCAGATAGGTCCTCAATCTCTATTGCTCAAAAAGTTTAAATCAAAGAAAGCAAGAAGTTATTAGGGATACTTAGTGATAAAACTCGTGTATAAAGCAACCTAGGAAGTTTTTATCCTATTTTTAAAAAATTCCAAACTGGAAGACTGGAAGGCTAATACTACTTCACCAATTAAAACTCAAGTTCAAAAATGTTAGCAGTAATGTACAAACTGATTAAATAATCTGGAAAATTCTCATTGATCATTAATATCAATGGTCACCAGCAAGATATGTCTACTGTGAAGCTAAGTGTTATCTTTCTTATAAGGAATTAAATTTGAAATAAGATGCATAGATAGGTAAGTATATCTATTTTTTTTTTAACTCATTAGCTCATTTCTGCACCAGTATTGAAATCTTTATTAATTACTAAGATAAATTCTAGGAATAACCAAGATGAGTAATTACTCATACTGTTTAAAAATTTACAAATCAACGAATAGTACAAGAGACATCTATTTACATCTTACCGAACTAGAATAGATGAACTATATGACAATCTAGTATAGGATTTTTCTTAATTCTTAATAAAGTTAGAGAGATAGGAGAGATATTTTAACCAACCAATTTAATGGGGTACCTTCCAATATATAAATCTCATCCAACAAAGTGGTACTTCCTAGAACCTTAATTCACTAGATGACTTATTGCTACCCCCATATAGGGAAAGCTAATGTGTTAAGAACTTGCCTAAGATACCCAGTACTACTGATGTTGTGAATTTCTTATACAGGATCCTTATGATTCCTGTTAGTATGTGATTTTATGGAAGATCTGTTTTATTTTTACACCTTCTTTTATCGATTTATCTTTGCCTCTTATGAAAACTGTTCTATTTTTTTTTTAACACTAGAACATCTTGACTACCTGACTTAACCACTCGAGAAGGAATGATGCATATTAAGGATATTGTATCACTTGGCCTTACCTTATTGAAACTGGTTTTGTCTTGTTATAGGTATGGTAAGCGAGTGATCCCTTGATTTTTATAGTTATATGGAAGTATCTGATCTGCATCATGGGATAGATGGAATCTTTGTGCCACCGCTAGCTTAATTTTCATTTGGTTCTTATGTGGTATTGAACTTTGAACCTTGTGATTGTGACCTGAAAGTACTACCACTGTGCTATAGATCCACAGGTCTATAGTAAGTATATTTATATTTAGATAGAAATAGGTTTAATTGATAATATATTGGAAGACTTTCAAGTCACTTATATAGATACTAATATATTATCAGAATCTTTCTAATTATTTCCTCCCTATAAACCTTAAAACTATAAAGTCTCACTTTTGACCTTCAACTTATTTCTATAAAGACTTAGTAAAAGTTTTTTTCTCAAACTTCTTTATAGAGAAATTTAGAATAAAACAGACATGTATTAAGAAACAAGATCAACACTTATTCAAATTACATATAACTATCCAATTTTCTTTTTTATTTTCTTTTATTTTCATTTTTACAACATCAATATGTACTAGGGATATTGATTTTTCTTTTGTAAAAGAAGAGATAATAAGTTTCGATGTAGCTTTAAAAATAGCTTTAGCTTATTGTTATCTTTATTGTTCTCAAATATACTATATACTTATGTACCCACGTGTATTTATGTAATTTGGAAAACAATAAAGTTAGACATAAGCCCATCAAAAAAAAAAAAATTTTTTTATATTTAAAAATTTGATAATTAATTAAGATCTTTAGTATAAAATTTAAATCTATAATAAAAAATTTTAAGTATAGTTGAATTTAAATTTATAAAGTTATTTAAATACTTTTTAATAAGTTTACTTATAAAGTCATAGTATTTAAATACTTTTTAATAACTTTACTTATATAAATTTTTAAAAATATTTTTATATATTTATTATTCAAATGATAATAATAATAATAATAACATTGATTTTTTATTTTTTATTTATTTATTTATTTATTTTTGCTTTCTATTAGTTTAATTACATATACTTTATTAAGCATTTGTAAACTGTACATATAATATGAAATGCTAAAGCTAATTCTTTAACTAACTCACTTGTCTTAGTTGTTTTATCTTTCTAAATATAACTTTAGAAGTAATTTATTACTCCATTAGAAGTTCAAATAAACATCCTTTCAACTTCTAACATCATTGTTTATAAATCACTCTTTCAAGTTCTAATAGAAATTAAAACCCAACCATTTTATTCCATACTTTACCCTATCTCGTAGGACCTGTTTGAATATCATATTTTCTAATTCTTCTTCCTTTAATGGTATTTGATATAACTGATTTTCTGATACCTTGGTCCTGTTTTTTTGCCTCTATAGATATGTTGGCCTTTTGATATTATCACCTTTGTTAATTTCTAATATTCATTTTTACTCTATTACTTTCTTTCATTTAACATTTCAAATTTTCTTTCTAAAGTGATTATATATTTTCTTTTGTATATTTATTATCTACTTTTTTGCTTCTTTACTGATTCTCTTTTCATAACACTTTGAGTCTACTATCTTATCTATTGGATTTTTTTCAATCAGTCCTATGCAGAAGCTAAATATTGTGATAAAAATAGCCTCTAATACCATTGAATAGTTATTTTTAGTTATGATTTTTATTCTATTTCAATTTTTATCTGTTTATTTACAATTATTTCTTTGATATTCTTTGATATTCTTATTGATACTTAATTAGCGTAGATCACTTTATCAAATATAGCATGTGACATAATTTACAGTAGATTAGGTAACTCAGAAGACCCAAGAGGCCTAGGAGGTCCAAGTGGTCCAAGTGATCCATTTTTACAAGTAAATAAGTAGTCATAATTTACTTAAAAGTAGGATAAGTTTGTAAATAGCTTCACTTGACTTTGAAAGTTTAGAAATAACTTTATTTTTCTTTTAGGAGATTGAATATTTTCTTTTGATTTTAGGACTTAAGGAATTGTTCTAGTTTTTTTTATTTATTAATAAACTTGGGTTCTGAGCAAACCATATTTCTTGTGAAATACTATGTGACACTGTT